GGTTACTGAACGGTTTTTTTTCTGAGCTACTCATAGGTTGTGTAATGTCAATACTGTGAATTGCGAAATGCGAAGAATTTTTAAAGAAAGAGGCTTGGGCTGTTTTTAACGTACTACCCTAGAATTACTGGGGCAAGAGGTAGCGTAGGTGATTGAGGCACTGTGCTACAAGCCGGAAGGCCGAGTGTTCGATTCCCGATGAGGTCATTGGATTTCTCAATTTACCTAACTCTTTCACTTGCACTATGGCCCTGGAGTCGACTCAACCTCTAACAGAAATGAGTACCAGGAATCTTCCCAGGGGTAAAGTGAGGCCGGAGCGTAAGGCTGACAACGTCACCGCCATCTGTGAGCCAATTTTCTACAAAATGTGGGAGCCACGACATCTGACAACCTTATGGGCCTCCACGGCCTGTTACGGGGATAACTTTAATTTTCTTTCACTCTAGAATTTGTCTAGGTTGAGGTAGACTGCGGAAATCCTGTCAGGGTATTAGATCTCCAGTAGGTTTGAAACCATGGCCTCAAAAATACGAGGCAGGGATATCAATCGACTGCGACTTTCATTCTGACGATTAAGTATGTCCATATGTCAGTGTCACACTCATCTGTCGGTACGACAGGCCTCTTAAGCAAGTGCACGAAGAATTCAGCCATATTTGCAGAACATGGTCCTGGTTAAATATGTGCAAACAACTTTCCATCTGACGACTGGACATCACAAGATAAGACAAGCTAAACAACAGTTCCTTTGGTAGCACTGCTTATGTTTGCCGTATTATACGTTTTGAAATAAACTGCACTCACACAGGTATTGATTAGCTTCTTTACTAGAAGATAAAGCACTCCCTATTTTAGTCCGAAATTGAAATTCCAATTTAAATATTGCTGAATAATGCACTTTCGCCACCAGCAAAAAAGAAAAGTGTCATCCAACGAAGATAATTCTTATTAGAGTCAGAAACTCCCCGTGCTCATATTGAGTTAGTGTTATCAGTGTGTGTTATAGAGAGCAGACGGATAGGAATTTAAATGACCCAACATGAATGATTAAAAAATAGTTCTTAAAAAACGTAATAAGTAGTTATTGTTCTGTGTTTAAGTCGATTGTCTGGTTTACAGCACTGAAATATTGACCGATTAGGATTCTTATCTTACTGAATTTGAAGTTGACGTACTCATATCACCATCGTTGCACTTACTAGAAGTAATCTGAGGTCACTCTTGTAGTTGAACTCTTCCCTGTCTATTACTCGAAGCGCTGTAACTATGGCAACTGGCTGTTGCGCCAGAAATTATTTCTGCAACCAGAATGTAACCGAGGGGTTTACAGCATAATCACTGTGACGTGTGGTTTCGTACCTGTGGTCTCATTATAATTGCTGTTAGGCACTCGGATATGCAGACCGATAAGAACTTCGCTTCTAGATATCTTGCATGGGTAATACCCCTATTCGCCGGTCACTGTAGCCCAGCGGTCTAAGGCAAGTACTGCCTTCCTTCGCTCGGAAGCCATGATCGTGGTTTCGAATACCACAAAAGGCATGGATATTTGGTATGTGTTTATTCTCTGTTTGTGTTGTCCTGTGTTTAGGTAGAGGCCTTGCGACGAGCTGATCACTCGTCCTGTGAGTCTTACCGTCTGTAAAATGATCATGATACTGAAAATCGGAGGCCAGGGCCCAAGAGGGCTGTAGAGCCAGTGAAAAAGAAAAACATTTTCGCTACCCGTGACATGCATACTAATAATAGGCGTAATACAGGATTAATCACCGCAAATGTTCCGGCTTTATACACGTATCAAACCATCTAACAGGCAGAATGTTTTGAAGAAAATATATCGCCCAAAAGAAAAGTGTGAGAACAAACCAAAAACAAGAAATTAAACATAATAAGGAGTAGTGTTTATTTAATAATACAAAATATTATTGGATTCTCCTTAATTGTACAAAAATATGGATAAGATAATTAAAAAATTGCACAGATAATATTAATTCGATAATTAATAGAAATTAACATGTTCACATCAAGTGCTCTTTTAACGTTTGTGTGTACTCATATGTGAAGACCTCCTCATGCTTCCCCATAATCTCGCAACTTCTGCCTTTCGCCAGCTCACAGTGCCTTTTTTTTTAAATTCGCTTAGTGGGGGGTGGAGTCCAGTTGGGCCCACTCGGCACGGCGGCCACTGATTGGCCTATTATAGCCTGCCCCGTGTGATTATGATGATGGAGAATTTGGTGGAATGAATATTGGCAGGGAAAACCGAAGTACTCGGAGAAAACCCGCCCCAGCGCCACTTTGTCCACGACAAATCCTACTTGACCAGACCCCGGATCGAACCCAGGCCGTCGCGGTGGGAAGCCAGCGACTAACCGCTTGAGCTCTGGCGCGGCCAGCTCACAGAGCCTTACAGCCGAGATTCGAAAAAATATTATTCCCTCATCCTGATAGTCTCTTCCATGCAGGAGCAATTCCAGATCTTCCGAATTAGAACGTAGTTGGTTGAGGGGATATGCTACAAGCCGGAAGGTCGTGGGTTCAAGTCCCGATGAGGTAGTTGGATCTTTTTCAATTGACCTAATCCTTCCAGCCTCACTGTGGCCGTGGGGTCGACTCACCCTTTAACAGAAATGAGTACCAGGAATATTCTTGGAATATTGTTGGGGATAAATGGCCGTCGGCGCGTAAGGCTGACAACCTTACCACCATCTGCGAGCCTATTGTCTAGAGAAAATGTGGGACCCTCAACATCTCACAACCCTATGGGTCTTCACGGCCTGATACAGGGATAGCTTTACTTACTTACGTTTACTTGTTCACTTTGCTCTTATTTCTGGCAGTCTTGTTTTTTTAAAGCAAATTTCAATTATGGCTGTTCTCACCAATAACATTCAGTATATTCTATTTTTAAGCTTAAAAAAAAAAGCAAAGAAGGAAAGGAAATTTTAGTTAATCTTGCATAGATCAAAATATCGCCTTTCAAATTCTGTACGCTGTCCCGTATCTGAAATTTCTAAGGGTCATCCTGAGATTAATTATTTTACCAAAATAAACACCCATTGCGCTGAAATGGCCGAGTTAGGCCTTTAACGCGAAGTGGTGAAGAGGAAGGTGATAGTGTGTCTGCCTCAGTAGGTGATGTTTTGTTCTTACAATTGGAATAAAGCTGATGTATGAGTAAATGCACCTAGCTTAATAAACGTCTTCCGTTAATGAAAATACATGTATATAAATGAATCATTTGATGTACAGTAAACTCTGTATTCTGTTACTTGGTCAACATGAAAGATTTCGGCACTGAATTTTACTATCGTATCTCTTCATGCGAGTAATAAAAATCAGTGCCTTAAATATAAAAATTTATGACACTGACTGAAGTGGGTTCTTAATACCTAACCATTACAAAATAAAGAGATTTGGGCAAGCTTATGTTTATATATTTGTGATTTGACTTTCAATTTTACTTTAGAATATGCCATTAAGAAATTCCAAGACATCCAGGAGGAACTGCAATTGAATTAGAAACTTCAGCTTCTGTTCTATGCTGATATTAATTTATTTTTGGGGGGGGGATAATTGCCTTAAATAAAAAAACATACAAAATCTATTACTAAAAATAAACAAACCCCTTTGTTTTAGCCCGCAAGCGAACAACATTAACCGCTTCTGTGGTCTTGTGATCAGAGTTCCTGGCTACAGATCTAGAAGTCCATGGTTTGATTCCCGACGCTACCAGGTTTTCTGAGAAGTAGTGGGTCTGGAACGGGGTCTACTCCGCCTCGTGAGGATAATCGAGGAGCTATTTCAATGAAATAGCGGCTCCGGTCTAGAAAACTGAGATTAACGGCCGTGGGGATTCGTTGCGCTGACCACGCGACACCCTCTATCCGCTAAAGTTGGCATACAAACTGTATTATTATATGATAGAAAGGAGATAGGTTTAGAAGTAAACGAAGATGTTAAGAGCTCACTAACTTAGGAGAATGCTTACTACCAGTCAGTTCAGGACCCTCTGTGCTTCTTCTCCCCTGTTCAAAATATTCAGAACTATTTTTTCTTGTAGTTTCACATGGATAAGAAATTTGATCTCGCGTATCAACAGAAACATCGACAGAAGGTGCTTGATAATACAGCTGAGGAGAATATTTGGACCTAAGAGGGGTGAAGTAACAGGATACTGAAGAAAATTGCACAATAAGGAGCTTCATAATTTTTACCTCTCAAATTTTTATTAGAAAGATTGATTGAAGGACTATTAAACTGATAGGTCACGTAGCACGTGTGGGAGAGAAAAGAAGTGAATACGATTTTAGATGGACAAGAACCGAGGGAAGAACAACAGTAGGGAGAGGGTGGCATAGGTAGGATAGCGCTGAAATGTATCCTAGAGACATATAGGGGATGGTGTTGACTGGATTAATCTGGCACAGAATAGGGATAAATGGCGGATATCTTGAACATGGTACTGGACCTAAAAGGTAAAGCTATCCCTGTAGCAAGCCGTGAAGGCCCGTAAGGTTCTGAGACGTTGAGGCTCCTACATTTTCTAGACCATCGGCTCAGAGATGGAGGTAAGTTTGTCAGCCTTACGCGCCGACCGCCGTTTACCCCCAAGAAGATTCCTGGTACTCATTTCCGTTAGAGGCTGAGTCGACCCCAGGCCCATAGTGTGCTGGAAGGATTAGATACATTTAAAAAACCACCCCATTGGGTATAGAACTCGTGACCTTCCGGCTTGTAGCATAGTGCCTCAACCAACTACGCTACCGCGGGTACTGCACCTTAAGGTTCCACAAAATACGGGAAATTACCTGAGCAGCTGGACAGCTACGTATTGTCTGTTCGAGAAGGTCTCAGCATTATTTAGTTAGTAAGAAAGTAGATCAGATTGTGTTGTAACAAAGGGTAGAATGATCAATGTAAGGGATCTGGAAGAAAGCGGCTGTGGTTTTATTTTCAGAACTATCCCAGCATTTGCCTGGCGAGCCTGAGGAAAACCATAAATGCCTCTGTCAGCATAGCCGGTCTTAGGGAGAAGGTTTGGATACGGAACCACCAGATTATGAAGCAGTATTGCTGAAGACTCGACTCTAGAGGGCGTCATTCGGTAAGTACTCCTAATGTATTATTATTATTCTTATCCATGTTTTATATATCCGAGACTTTCTTATGTTCAATCTCTGTTCTGTTAGTAAAAATTGCCCCTCTGCTAGAATCGCTTGCTAATGCTGTTGGTAGGGACGTTGACGTCTTTGGACCAAAAACTCTGATGTCGAAACATTTTATACTGAATTAATTAAACTATTATTATTATTATTGTATAATGCTCTATTTGAAATTTGAACTGTTCTTCGCTGTCACATTGTGGTTTTGTCTCTGTACGTTTGTTTCTGTATCTTTATTGATCCTCACTTTGTAATCGGTCTTCAGCTGTTAAGTTAGCTTGTAAATAAATAAGAAATGAATACAGTAGAACTGAATCGAATTATGGCTCTACAACCCTTTGTTGGGCCTTGACCGCTTTTCGGTTTCTTGATCCTATACACAGTCGGTAGGACTCCTTGGATGGGGGATCAGCCCGTCGCAAGACCTCTACCTACATGCAGAACAATACAGACAGAATAAACGCACACAGACATCCATGCCTTGAGGGGATTGGAACCCACGATCCTAACGTTCGAGCGAGCGAAGACGGTTCATGCCTAAGACCGCGTGACCATTGTGTTCGGAATTTATAATGTATACTTTCTTTAAACTGTTTAACTCTATACGGTGAAGCTAACAAGAGCTACAAACTAATAATTACAGGCCCAGTATATTACAGACCCATTTATGTGCATATTTTCACGTAGTGCAAATTCCGAATACATTATTCAGATAGAACCTTAACGTTTCGCATCATTACCGTGTATTTAACGGACAATTTGTGGGCGTGTTTACGTCCTGTCTGCGTACAAACTGTTACATGTTTAGCGGCAATGGTTCATTTAGTTATCTCCGTCAAACCGAAAACTAATTTCAAGAATATTTAGACATGTTAAGGAAAAAGTCTTTTGCATATACAGTAAATTCGAAATCCAGACATAAATCATTAATATTTATCAGTGCTTGTAGGTAAGTGTGTGTTTTTCATATGTTACCAATACGATTGGCATTGAACTGGCTGTCTGGTGGGATTTGCAATTAGTTACAGGCCCCAGATTTGTATAAATTAACCAGGGAAGCCATAAGGCTTTTCGGTTTTTATGGAGAAAGCGTTTAGCTTCAGGAATGCAACATAAATGTAGAAGTTATATAAATTAAGACAGATATACGTCAATACAAGGAAAATACCGGTATCTCAATGGTAGATGGCTATAAGTCAGCTACGAATCTTCGGAAGTACGAGTATGATTACAAAGTAGTAAACCCGAGTCATGCTCTGAGACTGAGATCTCCCTTAACACGCCCTAGTGATCTGAGTTGCATGTAGAAATAAATGGGACGTACAATGAAGAAATGTTCCAGCAGTGTTTTATGAAAAGAAGGGCCCCGGTGTTACCCTTGCTGCTTGATGCAGGTCTCGTGAATTGTACATGGAACATGCGTCCAAACCGGCCCACCCAGACTCCCATCATAAGGGTATCGGGGGCAATTTCCCCAGAGATAATGCTTCCGGGGAGTGAAGCCGAGGGCAAGAAAATGTGGATCTATATATGCACTTCCCATACGGCTACACGGCGTAGTGCTTAATTAGTTAAGCAGAAGCATAATTTTTATCCCTTTACATGGGAGACGAGCTTTTGCGTACAAAATAACACAATCACAATTTTAGTTTTAAATGTTTTTTCTCACGTGGAGGACTCACATCAAAAAGAAACGCCAACAGTTAACGCTGAAAGAGAGACATCTGCACTGGCTGCTAGGAAAACGCTCGCAATTGTCCCTGGAGAACAAAACCCTGTTATACAAGGCACTCTTAAAACCTATATGGACCTATGGCATCGAGCTGTGGGGCTGCGCTCGACCATCCAATACCAAAATCCTCCAAACATTCCAATCGAAAACACTAAGAAGAATCACAGGCGCACCATGGTACGTAACAAACGGAACTATCCACAACGATCTCAACATACCCCTCATCACGGAAGAGATCAGAAAACATGCCACCAGACACCGTACTCGGATAACAGGACACGAGAACCCGCTAATCGTTGAATTAACGAAACTGCACCCAGCAGCAAGACGACTGAGGACAACCTGGCCAGAAGACTTATGTAACTAAAAGGCAGAATCGCATTTACTTATTACTTACAGTGGTCAAGTAGATTGTAAATTGACGTAAAAAAATGTTTTACTCCTTAATTGATTCTTGTTTAATTTATGTGTAAGAGAATGTAACAGAAATTTGTGACCGGTTATCATTAAACAAAACTATGAATTTACAGGATTTGTAATTGTATTATATATTTTCAGTCGGGGGCACGCGGTAGCGTATATTTATTCCGAAGACATAACCGCATAAATATTAGGATATTACATTAAGTCGGGGGCACACGGCAGCGTAGTTGATTGAGGCATTATACTACAAGCCGAAAGGTCGCGGGATCGAATCTCGATGAGGTCATTGGATTTCTTCAATTTACCTAGTCCTTCCAACCGGACTATGTCCCTGGGGTCGACTCAGCCTCTTAACATAAATGAGTACCATGAATATTCTTGGAATGTTCTTGGGGGTAAAGGGCGGCCGGCACGTAGAGCTGACAACCTTACCACCATTTATGAGCCGATTGTCTAGAAAATGTGGGAGTCTCAGCATCTTACAACCCTATGGGCCTCCACGGCCTGTTACAGGGATACCTTTAATTTTTTTACTTTTACATTTTCAGTCTGGTTCCCGAAAGTAGAACAGCCCAACAGGTCAATGTGTTCTTCGTAGGCATGTCCATACTAATTTTGAATGAAATGGCCAATTTTTGTGAAATCTAGAACATGTTCCATTTAAACAAAGTAACAGTTTTATTTTATTTATTCCACAACGTGACTGCTGTAGGTCAGCAGTTTCCATTTAGTGTACAAAGTGCATTGCATGTAAATCACATTAGCATGCTTGTCTCCGTAGGCATTTAGTAAGCTGTAAGTCATTTGTACTTTTATTCGAACTGCCTTCGCGGCATGATGTCATCTGACGGATATAATTCACTGGTGAACTCCTACACGTAGGCTTGTTTTGAGAATGTCGTCAGTTAGATATAGGAAAATAGACCTCTTCATAACTACTGATGTGAGGACCTCAAATCATACATGGGCATTGTCCATTGTCTATGAGGTCCGTCAGATCAAGCCCCTCTTCTTGCCTCAAGATGGATTTCTGAAATATCGTCTTCTTAGTGTAGAATCTTAGACAACTAGGAAGACCAAATAGTATTAAAATTGATCTTAGAGAATGGGGGTAGTGTGGACTTGATCGATCTGGCTGAGGGTAGGGACCAGTGGAGGGCTCGTGTGAACACGGTAATGAACGTTTGGGTTCCATAAAATTAGGAAATTCTTGCGTAGGCTCACAACTGACCGCTTTTCAACAAGGGCTCACCTCCATGCAGTTAGTTAGAGAAGAAATTACACTATGGACAGAGTTCAGTGTATTAGAACTGATCGTAACATGCAGTATTAATAGTGATGATCTTCTGTCGGACGACGCTGGGTAGTCGAACCGAAATTTTTTGGTCTGAAATATGACAGACTTCGATGGAAACAGGAAACAAACAGAAGGATAATATATACATAAATCCCATTTCAGTTTTGCCTGACATTAGACTGATTGATCAGGGAAAGATGAACTCCTCGTGGTTCTTGGAATCTGATCTGCAATCCTGCAAATTCAAGTAGAAGAATCAATATATTTAGGTCAGCAACTATCCGAATATTTGTGCTTCTAGGATCAGCCACACGCGTCTGTGAATATATACGCACGGACAACTTTACCGTTACCTTCATAGTACAAAGGAAATATTCCCGTAGGTTTCATGCCTTTGGGTACATGACTGTTTCCTTGTGGACCTTACATTGCCTGATCTACAAACGTTCGGCGTTGCCTTGTTGTTATACGTCACCAAGTGGAACTTCACAAAAAGACTGCCAGAAATTTTGTTTCGAAGATATCATGATAAATTAATATTCATATTATTTAATTTTCTGCTCTCTTAATGCTAGGGGAACGCGGTAGTGTAGCTGGTTGGAGGACATGCCCAAGTTCTTAATTCCTAAAGACATTCGATAAAGAGTGAAGAAATTTACTCGCATCATTCAAAATAATCCATTTAAATATAAAATCTCATCCTCTACTAAAACTTTGCCAAAGGCATAGAAGAAGGGCAAACGTAAAGTAAATTTGTCCCTGTGCTTAAACATTTATACCTTAAGACGGACGGAGAAGTGGAGGCAAATCTCTCTGCGTTCTCAAGCTCGGCAGTAAGTATCCGTGATTCCTTATATTCACCGTCCGGCCTCTTCTCCCCTGCGAAAGAACTACGGTTACCCATTTAAAAGGGGACTGGGCGAACCCCAGAACTAGCCTGGAAAATTTTCTGCTCTCGCTGGAAATAACAATATAATAATAAATAAAATAATAATATTCATTTATGATACATCTTTTCGCCTCTTTTTTTTTTTATCGAGGCCACATTGAATACGTTACTTAATGTCAGATCTCTCTTTCTCAATTTCGACTACATAGCTATCCCTGTAACAGGCCATGGAGGCCCATAGAATTGTGATACATTGAGGGTCCCACATTTTCTAGACAATCGGCTCACAGTTGGCGGTAAGCTTGTCAGTCTTACGCACCGGCCGTCCCCTACCCCCCGGGAGATTCCTAGTACTCGTTTCTGTCAGAGGCTGATTCGACCCCAGGGCCATAGTGCGGCTGGAAGGATTAGGTCAATTGAAGAAATCCACCTCATCGGGAATCGAACACGCGACCTTCGGCTTGTAGCATAGTGCCTCAACCAACCACGCTACCGTTTGCCCCCTCGACTGCATAATGGTGTTATTAATTTGTTTTTTTTCCGTTCGATAGTGTTAACATTTTACTCCATGTTAGTTGAGTCCCTTGTCACTATGGTGTAT